CTTAAACGTAATTATCGAACATAATAAAAACAATAATAATGTTTGTGTTTGTATTTGTGTGTGTATATGTGTGTTTATGTATACGTGTGTGTGTATGTATGTGTGTGTGTGTGTGTGTGTGTGTGTGTGTGTGTGTGTGTGTGTGTGATGATTGTTGTATTTGAAAGTAAGAGCGCGATTTAATTAAACAAATGTTTATGTAAGCCAGCAAGAAATTAAAGACCAGTATGTAATGTAATGTATATGCATGTGAATTGTGTTTGTATGCATGTGTGAATGGATAGTGCGTGTGTATGTACGTATATGTGTGTGTGTGCGTGTGTGTGTGTTTGTGAGCACATGTGTGCGAATGGTTTGTTTAATATCACAAAACATGTCATGCTTATCGTTAATCCTCTGCTGATGTTGATAGTGCCGTTGTTGCTGTTGTTGTTGTTGATGCTTCGACGTTTTTGTGGTAGTTGACGCTAGTGTGGCTGCTACAGCTGCGGCTGTTATGTCGACGTCATCAGTGTGGCTGCTTCAGTAATTAAAATGTAAGCAGCAGCATGCAGGTGAATTGTGGTAGTAGTAGTAATAGTAGAAGTAGTAGTAGTAGTAGTATTAGTAGTAGTAGTAGTAGTATTAGTAGTAGTAGTAGCAGAACTGCTGTAGTTTGTAAGAACAAAGTTATGGTAATAATCGTGTGAGAAATAAAAGAGTTAAAAGGATGGAGCGATGGCTATTGAGATCGTTGATGAAATGTGTGTGTGTTGAATGATTGAATGAATTTTAGTATGTATGTATGGATGTATGTATGTTTGTATGTATGTATGTTTGTTTGTATGTATGCATGGGTAAATGAAATATGAACTTACAATGAACTTATCAGAAATCTTTTAGACATAATCGTTGCTGTCTGCTATTGATAAACATCGCCTTCAACAGAGCAAACATAAACAATAACATAAAGACGGGTGATAATAAAAATACGAATAATAACAATAATAATAGTAATAGCAACAACAATAACAACAACAGATTTCAACATGGAATCAGCTCCATCATCATTTCATCAATAAAATATAATACAAAGAAGTACTCTTTCATACACTAGTATGTATTAAATTAATACATTTACCCATGTACAAACAAACGAAGACACGTATATACAAGCATACGTACACACACACCCATACATACAAACATACATACATAGATAAAATCATTCATACATTCATCCATACATAATCATACACTATGAACTACCAAACCAAACTGACAATACAACCAACAGAATGTTGCCCAAAATTTTTCAACGTAGTTTATTAGGTGTTATTTCCAGAATGGCTACATCAATCAGTGTCAGACTTTTTTCTCTCTCTCTCTTTCGTTTATTATTATTCTTTAAAGTATCAGAATCTGGCAAACACAAAAAACTGTTACAGCAATAGTATAGGATGGTTACGAAAAAGAAATAACACAGAAAAAATGTGTGTGCATGGAAAGTATGGAAAATGGAATTAAATAAACAGAAAAATAGATAAAATAAATAATTAATTAAACTTTTATGTATGTATGTATGTTTTTATGTATGTATGCATTTATGTATGTATATATGTATGTATGTAAATATGTATGTTATTATATGTTCATTTCGATCTAAGACATTATCATTGACTGGCCTCCCACTTAAATTTCAAATTATTCTCTTTATCTTAAGTCTCCTCTTGACTATCTTTGTTAAGTTCCCTTTTAAGCGTTTGTAAATATTGAGCAGAACTAGTTTTCAAATCGTTTTTCTATCATGATTTGTAGATGGCAATCGCTAATTTTTAACATTTTAATATTTAATGCATTTTTATTAACGAAAATTCAATCAGGCAGTCACGATACATTTAAAAAACCGGAAACTTCAGATTGTGGTTGCTCAGCAGCCAATCGCCAAACCACTACCAAAGCAAAAGCAGACTCTGATTCCAAAAATCCGGAAGTTTTGAAATCGATTAATTCCAAAAATATAAAACTTTACGACGAGATGGTTCCTGTGGAAGGTGGGATCTACGGCATTGGCTCTTATAAACCCATCATTCCAGCAGATGGGGAGGGGCCGGCTAGAAAAGTTAAGTTGGCGAGGTTTTGGCTGGACGTTCATGAAGTTAGCAATTTGCAGTTTAGCGAGTTTGTGCAGCAGACTGGGTATGTTACAGAAGTATGAAATTTATAAATTTGTCTTGTTTTTAAAAACTAACATTACTTCTACTTTATGTTTATATAATTTCTCCATAATTTTTTTCTTAATCTAATAATCTAATGTATTTTAGGTCGAAATATGTGTAGATATTGTTAAACAGTTAAATCATCTTTATAGATTTAATAAAAATCAATAAATTTTTCGTATTTTACTTTATTTTAATTATTATAATAATATTTCATCAAGTTTTTTTATTCTACTTTAATGTTTTCAATGATACAACAGGCTGAAAGATTTGGCAACTCGTACGTCATTGAAACGTTCATCAGTGAAGAAGTCAAATCTTCAATCAATCAGGCCGTAGGTATTGCATGTATAATATGGTATAGCAATGTGATGCTGTATAAAAATATTTTATAAAATTAGGTCGCAGCGGCTCCATGGTGGCTGCCAGTGAATGGGGCTGATTGGATGCACCCCACGGGCCCTGACTCTAATATCACCCACCTGTATGTTAGTGTGTGTGTATGTATGTGTGTGTTTGTTTGCTTGTGAGTGTGTGTGTGTGTATGATACGTCGATGGGTGTGCTTGTTTATGTAGTTATTTTTCTTTCATTCCTACTTTCAAAGGATGGATCACCCAGTTGTCCACGTGTCGTGGAATGATGCAACAGCATTTTGCAAGTTGTTATTTTAGTTTTTTTTATATTAGTAGTAGTCGTAATAGTAGTAGTAGTTGTAGTAGAAGTAGTAGTGGTAGTAATTGTGAACAATTAGAAGAAGATCACATAGAGAAGATAAAATGATAATTTATTTTCAATTCTTTTTTCATTTTTCGAGCATAGATGGAAAAGTAAAAGGCTTCCAAGAGAGGCTGAATGGGAATCAGCGTGCAGAAACAATAAGCAAGATAGGTCTCATGCTTCAAATAGACTTCAATCACGTTTAGAAATTTGTTATAAATGAATTTTTTTATTAATTAATTAATTTATTTATTTATTAATATTAACAGTAAGTATATAAATTAGATTGATGTTAAATAATGAATATTAATGTTGGAGTTGGCCAGGTAGATTGTTTAATATATCTCATGAAATCAACAAATTTAATTTATTTTTCATCTAAATTTTCATTTAAATGTTTTTTTTTCTCTATTTAAAGGCTGTTCCCTTGGGGGAATTTGGAAAAACCCAAAGATCATCACTACATGAATATCTGGCATGGGAGTTTCCCGACTGAAAACACTAAAGATGATGGATACGCAAGCACATGTCCAGTATATACATACACATATTTATATATTTCTATAATTGATTATATTTTTGTATATTTCCATAATTATCCTTTGTATTTTGTTTGTTTTTAAACATATCTTTTTAGATTCGTATGTTATTGTCATATCTTTGTTCTTGAGTTTTTTTTCCACTTTTATATACATGTTTATTTAATATTCAGTGATTATAATGTTTTTGTTCTATTTTTACTCCAAAGGTTTGGAGTTATCCTAATCAAACGACTCACGGTTTGAAAAACATGATCGGCAATGTTTGGGAATGGGTGGCCGATTGGTGGCAAGCTAATCATCATCATCACCAGGACCACCATCCGGATCGTCATCAGGAAGAATTGCCTGTGAATCCAGTAAATATTATGATCCCAAATTTTAACGATTATCTGCTACCATTATTTAATTCATAATTTGTTAGGATATTATAATTATTATTATGGTTAATTATATTATTATCATCATTCCTATTTTTTTTATTATTGTTACTTTTACCAGGCTGGACCCCCAGGTGGTAGTGACAAAGTTAAGAAGGGAGGTTCATTTATGTGTACCAAAGTAATTGGCGTTATTTCTCTTATTCTCTTTATCTTTCTCTCCCTTTCTTCCTCTCTCTCTCTTTCAGTCAGTCTAACTTTCTTTTTTGTTGCTGTTGTTGCTTAATATGTCTCTTTCTTTCATTTTATATATCTCTCTCTCCATTTCTCTCTTTTCTTACACCTCAAAATTTTTCTTTCCTCTTCTCTTCCCCTCTGCATGCGTACATTTTTCTTCCTCTTCACATTTTATTTTCCTTATGCCTCTCTCTCTCTCTCACTTTCTTCCTCTGCAATAATTATTATAATTACAAAGATCAAAATGATAATAATTACGTGACACGACAGCAACACTGCTACAGATATCGTTGCGGTGCCAGGAGTTCCAACACTCCAGACAGTTCTGCCTACAACCTCGGCTTCAGGTGTGCTAGAGACGATGACGACGATAGTAATGACAATGATAGCAATGATAATGATGATGTTGAAGATATACACAACAGTGAGAATACCGAAGATGTTGTTGTCAACAATGCTTATAAAGATGAAATTTAAACTAAATCAAAAACACAGACACACATTCACGCAAAAACTATCGCATACACTCACTCACATACATGTCCAATGTTGCTTAATTTTTTGTATTTATTTTCTAGCCTTGCATAGTATGATCCTAATTTTTATTATCGAATTACTCGATACCACAAATTTATACATACAGTGATATAGTAAATATAAAGATACAGATATATATATATATATACACACACACACAATCTACATACATGCACTTTTACAAACGTAGTATTGCGTCATTTTATATTTTATTCTATCTTTCATTCCACTAACTTTTGCTTCTACGGAAAAAAATCTTGCCTTTTAAAGCGTACAGACCGGCGTTAATAAATTAAGACAAAAACAACGAACACAATTTATCACCCTCCCAATCTTCAACATAAACAATGATAATGATAGCATTAATAGAGATAGAATTAATAGAGAACCGTAACATTGCCATCATGTTTTGAAATGGATTAAATGTGATACTGTTAAGTATATGTGTGTGTGTGTATGTATGTTGGTATTTGTGTGTATGTATGTTGGTATTTGTGTGTGTGTAAGTATTTGTGTGTGTGTGTGTGTATGTATGTATGTACGTATTTGTGTGTGTTTTCTTTACTTAGGCAATCCTGTCAATGAATCTTTGCAGCTCGTCTTTATCTAGAAGTTTGAAGTTATGTTCTTTAGTTATTGTCGCCATCTGTCGTGGGAAAATTTAAAATTATTTTCAATAATAAAGAATAATACCTATTACTATTTAATATTAACTAATTAATAAAACTAGTGTTTAATTGTAAAGTTTGAAGTTATGTTCTTTAGTTATTGTCGCCATCTGTCGTGGGAAAATTTAAAATTATTTTCAATAATAAAGAATAATACCTATTACTATTTAATATTAACTAATTAATAAAACTAATGTTTATGTTAATTAATGTTTATCCATTAAGTGTTATGATAGTTTTAAATATTATTCTTTATCATATGGTTAGTATAATAGCTGTTAATGTTATTGCTGTTAGTTTATCGTTATTATTGATGTTTTTGGCATAGTTGTTGTTGTTGTGGCTACCTCAATATTGGTGGCATTCAGTTTTTCCTCCATAACTTGTTTCAATATCTTCAATATCTCAACGCAGGCATTCTCAAGTTTCATATCCTTGAATAATTTAAGATAACAACATATGAATGATGTTGTTGTTAATTTGTATTCAATCAACCAACCAACCAACATATATAAAAAATATTTATCAATCAATCAATCAATCATTTAGTCAATTTATTAACCCATTAACAGATAAATCCTAAATTATTCAAGCTGATTATGAATAATTACTCTACTAATCAACCAATTAATTAATTATTTAGTTAATTAAATCAACAATCAACTACTTAATCAATCACTCGATATATCAATACATCAATCGACAAACTTTATAAAAAATTTCTTGCAATGCCTGCTGAGCCCCTTCTGATCCAGAACCAATGGCTTTAGCATCATATTGAATGAAGGTACCCGAAGGATCCATATGGAACCTTTAACGGGGTGCCATAAATAATGGAAATTAACTAGATGTTAATGAAAAAAGGATGGGTGTTACTTAGTTTTGTTCACATACATATCATATTGAATGTTTAAAAGAATCCTATGAATAATTGAAATTAGATTTTTATGAGATTAAATAGATGTTAAAAAGACACACTATATATATATATGTGTGTGTGTGTGTGTGTGTAATACTAACAGTTGGGGCCCTAGCTCATCAATGCCAGCTATGAGTAAGGCAACACCAAATGGACGACTCTGTCAATAATAATTATGAATATATAATTATAAATAAATCTGTCCATAATTATTTTTTTACAATGTAATAATAGAATACAATAGATTGTGCAGTACTAAAAAGTACAGTTTGGCTAAGATGCAGCATACAAAACATCACAGCATGAACATTGTTTAATATGATAATAATAGCATCATAATAAAATTAGAATGAAATAATAAATATAATAATAATAAACCATAGCCCCGGGATCGGCATCATCATCACCGAACTGTAGGGCCAAGTTGCTGACTGACTGAGTCACACTCTCAACTTTCATCTTTTCATTGTATGTGAACCAATGGTGCTAACAAAATTAGACGATTGGTTTGCTGATCGTTTGTGATAAATTGTATGGGTGGTTGATTAGTTTACTGATTGGTTGGTTTGATTGATTGTTAAGTTGGTTAGTAAGTAAGTAGATTGAATTGATTGTGCTGATATATATCTGTTTGCAAACAATTACATATGCCCATACTCAAAATATATATATTTCTATATATTTAGCTACGCCTAATTGTACATTTTTGTATATATTTATGTTCAACAGTTTGTATGCCTGCACATTTGTGTATACTTGTATATTTATATATAATTGTATGTGTGTGTGTATGTTCACCTGTGCTTCCATACGAGCTTTATCAATCATAGTTCTTGAGTCAGCTACCAACCCGCTCATGGCACATCCTGCCAAATAGAATGTTGTAGGGAGACATTATTATTCATAATCATTATTTATGGCATTTAAGTATTTATAAAATAAAGTATTAAATGAATGAAGAACATGCATACTAACCAATATGAGAATCAATTTCAAATATCTTTTCAATGCTAGATGGTTCAATCAATGGAGATGTGACTCTCTTCTCGACGGCCAGCACAACTCCCTCTGGCGTCTGAATGCCTATTGCTGTTGATCCAAGCTTAATTAGGAAAAAATTAGTAAGCACTAAGTAATTCGTACAATAATAGTAAATTTGTTTATGAAAAAATTTGAAATGAATCATGAATAGAAGATCATTGGATTTGTAAGTAAATATAATTATAAATATATAATTATATTTAAATATGTTTTAAATATATTTAAATTATATTTAAATATATATATAATTATAAAATACGTAAATTTTAATTTAAAAGATCATAAAAAAACCTAAAAACAATCACCAGTTTGGGCACCTACCTTGATAGCTTCTATGGCATATTCAACTTGAAAAAGTCGTCCTTCAGGAGAAAATGTATTGACACCTCTATCGTACTCAGATCGAGTTAAAAACATGGTGCCGAAACTGGGTCTAAAGTTTTTTTTAAAGAATCAGTAAATTTAAATTAAAAAATGATGATGAAGTGTAAGGGCAAATTCAAATTTGTCAATTCACTGGTTTTGCGGAAAATTTACTTTCAAATTTATAAATTTCTATAAATTTGTTTCTTACCTTTCAACAAAATTTACAGTCTGGTTTTGAAATTGTTAAATAATGGCGAAATTTGAATAATTGAAAGAGTATGAATCAACAAAACCGAATCCTTAATATCGTTCAAAGAACTATTAATAATTGAAAAAAGTGTCTGGCTGGACCAAAGACAAATGACCCTGTCTTCGATAATGAACGTTTCGGTAAACAGAGCGAGCCCTTGCAGTCGAAAAAGAACACCAAAGTTTTTTTTTAATTTTATTAATTTCAAACACTAAAAATTCCAAAACGGAGCAACGTTCATTCGACCTCTACTTTAATCTGACATTTTTTGCAGCTTCAGCAAGAACGTCAACCATGTCAAATTTAAACTTTGGGTCCTTAGACCAAATTTGTGGCAAAACGGCCGGAACATTTTTGTGGTGGTGGTAGACGTGCAGTTTAACTGAAACTGTATTCAATTTATTCACCTGCAAAACAATTATACAAATACATTTAAACATAAATGCATACATGTATAAATACAGTTATGCCCAAACTCTAACTAGACAAAAATACACACAAACTAAAATTCTAACAAAACTGATTGATTTATTAATTTATTGATTGAAAAATGATTAAATAAAGATTATTTAATTAAGTAAATAAAAATGACTAATTACTGACAGTGACTTCAACATAATACTGGCCAGGATTTGTTATTTCCTCTTCAGGCATTTTCAAACATTCTTCATTTACCTCAATGCCCTAAGGAAAAAAATCATTAAATATTATAATTATTAATAATTATAATCATAAAAATATATAATTATAATAAAATTATAGAAATTTATGCGTGAAAAATATACATTTTGAAGTCAACTTACACAATTTCTAAATGCAACTTTCACATGAGTTTTATTGAGAGTCCATGCATTTGTAGAACTCATTGGAACTGGTAATGTCATACCACTTAGCTCTTTAAGAATCTTGATTTTTATAAGAAATTATAAATTGTTTAGTTATAATAAAACTAATTATAAATAACAAATTATGATATTATTTGCCATAAAAAATATGAGTTCAAACTTACAAATGATATAAAGACTTAATGTTAAGTGATGAAAAGTTAATTTAATAAAAATAATTAAAATCTGAATTAATAACTATCCCTTAATACCCTGTGTGCTGATTCTGTCTGCCTAAACTTGCCTTCATTCTTCTGAAAGTTCAAGAAGAAAAAATGTATTATAGAATATGAAAGTTAAAAAATTAAATATTATATTTAGCATACCAAACATACCATAATGTTTAAACAGGAAACATTAATTATATTAGCTAAAGTCAAATCAAATTTGTAATAAACAGTATGATCAACCCATCCTACCTTTCTTATGTGTTCAGTATTTGCAACATTCTCTGGTGAGGCATAGAGGGCCACTCCGGTTGGAAGCATGTGGGTCCTGGCTAATTTCTTCTTAACATTCACTATGTCCCCCTCAAATCCTAATCCTAATTTTTTCCAATTTTGAAAAAAGGAAACAAATAATATTATAAAATTATGAAAAAGTGTATATTTAAATAGATTCATTTTAATTTTAGTACATTTATTTCATATTTTGTTGGCTAAAAGTTTTGTCAAAATAATTGATATGAAATAATATAGTAATTATTACCATCAATATCTGTGGCCAGTATAACATCAATGTTTCCAGCTGGTTTGAGATTGGTGTCTTCAATAAGCATGTACACGTAATGCTTCCTCTTCAGTTTAGGCATGAATGGTCCAGTTTTGTCTGGAGGGTACAGTTTAGGAGGGAACATCCTTTTGAACACCACTACAGTCTTTTAAGTGGGGTTCAATGAAAAATTATGAAATTATAATATTATATAATAAAATATATTATTACATTAGATTAAATATTCAATAATTTATATTTTAATTAAAATATTTGGAAATATTGATTTGATGAGTTTGCAAATAACAGATTGATCAGTAATTGGATGATTATAAGAAGTGATTGAAACTCAACACTTGAATGGAATTTTTTGAAGTTTGTTTTTAAAGTTGTAATACAATATTTAAAAAATGCAAAAAATGAAAAAAAAGAAGTAATTTGACTCGAATTTGTTGGCAATAGGACAAATTAGGCACAATCCTCAGTATCGCATTCATCGTATTACCTATTTACTTTTAATCACAGACTACGTTTGGTACGTTTTAAAATTGAATACGTATAAGTTTGTTTAGCGCGGAGACTCATACATCATATAAAACAGTGTACGTACACATTTTAGCATTAAAATTATTAATAACAATTTATAGTTTTAAATAAATGTGACAAATGACTATTTAGTTGCATTTATATTAAGATTATTCAGATTATTAACTCTAATTAAAGGATTAAAGATTAAATTCATCTTCATCATTTCTTGAACGTCTGAAAGATGACAGCCTTGTTAGGCATCTATCAACTAAAGAAGCAGCTATATACACACTAACACACGAATACATACAGACAGAGAGACAGAGTGACAGACAGACAAACAACAACATACAGACAAGCCAAATGTTTAAGAAATTAATGCCAAAAATCGTCATTAAAACATCCAACAAATTAATTAACCTATCGTTTCGAACGTCAGAAATCTCTTTGCCATTATAACATACACACAAAAATGCTTCAAATCAAGACAAGATTTTTTTACATCATAAACTACAGGTAACTACAGGTATAAGATACGAAGAGAGAGAGAGAGAGAGAGAGAGAGAGAGAGAGAGAGAGAGAGAGAGAGAGAGAGGGAGAGAGAGAAGAGAGGGAGAGAGAAAAAAAAAAGAGAGAGAGAAGAAAAAAATAACAAGGGAAAAGAATATGAAACCTTTCTCTCAAAAGATAAACATAACATCATAAAAATATAATAATGAAGGTATAAATACATAATGAACGGATACAACTGACTTATTGATTCTAGATGTTAATGATCGGAGACATACACAGGTATTGAGAACAAAAACTTGTAAAAATCAGTCTTACGTTCATTAAGCTGGTAGCTATAACACGTTTTTGACTTTAACAATAACTATAATTAATAATAAAACTTATAATTATTAATAATTATTGACAAATATTTTGGAAAACTTTTATTTTGCGTTCATGTGCAATGGCAACTCCCTGCTTGTTTGGCACTGACTGATGAAAAATCAAAAAATCAAAAAAGAGCAAAAATTTTTCATTTTAATTCTGCGAGAACCGTTCTTACTAATTAGTGTAAAATAGGTGTGTATAAACATGCAAGCGTACGTACATTTATGCGTATATACAAACAAACATACACACAAACATACATACATACAAACAAACAAACATACACACAAACATACATACAAACAAACAAACATACATACAAACAAACATACTTACATACATACATGTGGGTGGATGATGATGTCAAGATATTGATGAATAGTATTGACTTACACTTCATTCATTATTCTATTGACTTTTCTGTATGGTTTGTATATATGTATGTATGTATGTATGTATGTATGTATGAATGAATGTAAATGTATGTATGTATGTATGTATGTATGTATGTATGTATGTATGTATGTATGTATGTATGTATGTATGTATGTATGTATGTATGTATGTATGTATGTATGTATGTATGTATGTATGTATGTATGTATGTATGTATGTATGTATGTATGTATGTATGTATGTATGTATGTATGTATGTATGTATGTATGTATGTATGTATGTATGTATGTATGTATGTATGTATGTACGTATGTATATATCCTACCTGACTTTTATTCGCCTGAACAGAATTGCGCCAACGATGATCGTGATGAGAAGTAATTAATGTTGAATTGAATTGCATTTTATTCTGGTAATTTTTTTCCAACTACAATAACAACATCCACCTCCTCATCATCATCGCCATCATCACCACCATCATCATCACCATCCTCATCATCATCATCATCATCATCAATTTATTAAATATCAACCTAATTTCGCTGACGTGTTTTGAAGTTTTTAAAAAAAATCCCAATCCAAAGATTAAAAATGTTTGAAAATTTTATGGAGCGCCAACAAAAAATTGTAGACAACATCGGCAAGGTCTGTTATTGTTATCACAATGGCATTTATCATCACCGTAGCTATTGTTAAAATCGTCATAACCATCATCACCACCGTCACCATCGTCATCACCATCATCATCACATTTGTCCTCACCACTATCATTATCATAACTCAGACGACAAAATCTTGGCCCCATTCCAAAAAGGTAGGATCGTATTTGATTGGTTCCACATTGGGGCAAGGGGCATTTGCCAAAGTTAAAATGGGTCTGCATGTATACACCGCCAAGAAAGTGATTATTTGTTTTATTGTATTTTTTTCTTTCATTCATTCATTCATTCATTCATTCATTCATGCATTCATTCGTTCATTTGTTCGTTCATTCATTCGTTCATACATTCATTCATTTGTTCGTTCATTCATTCTTTCGTTCACTCATTCGTTCATTCATTCGTTCATTCATTCATTCATTCATTCAGGTGGCCGTAAAGATAATAGACAAAAAAACTTGCATTGAAAACTCTTACGCCTCCAAAAACATGAAGAGGGAAGCTAAAATATGGAAGAAAGTAATTAATAATAATAATAATTATTATTATTATTATTATTATTATTATTATTATTATTATTATCAGATAGACCACAGGAACGTGGTGAAGTTACTGGATGTTCTTGAAACGAATAACGGGTATTACTTGATCACCGAACTCTGCGGCGGTTCCGATTTGAAGTCGGTAATAAGTAGTCGAATCTGCGGCTGTCTTGACGAATCCGAGAGTTCAGTCTATCTGTATGATATCCTATCTGCTGTATCTTATATGCATGGATTAGGCATCATTCATAGGTGTGTGTGTGTGTGTGTGTGTGTGTGTGTGTGTGTGTGTGTGTGTGTGTGTGTGTGTGTGTGTTGTACATTTCTAATTAATTAAAAAGTATGGGGCAAATTTCATGCTTGAACTATCATCTCTAGAAGAAAATTTTTTATACTTCGAGATAAAATTCCTCTAATGTATGCACCTATATATAATACATTATTATTATCGTTGTTATTCTTGTTATTATTATTGTTATTAATTATGTTAATATTATTATTTATTGTTATTATTATTATTAATTATTTTTAAGTACATAATTTTTCGGATTTTCTCTTTCAGGGATCTAAAAATAGATAACATTTTGCTAGACGGTAGAGGGAATGTGAAGCTAATCGGTAAATTTTATTCTTCAAAATTATTCATCATATTTTCATAATTATTATTTATAAATTTATTATTGTTTGAAGTAATATTTTTATGTCTGTTATAATTGACTTTGATGAAACTTTGAAAATAATAATTTAAAAATAACTGGGAAAAACCCAAGACTTTGGCCTGAGTTGTTTCGACAGCAGCCAATCACATTGCAGGACTTTTTGTGGAAGCCCTGCCTACGCAGCCCCAGAGCTTCTGGCCAATCAGAGTTACGGGAAGAAGGTGGACGTGTGGAGTATGTACGTACGTGATTGGCTGTTATTATGGTCATGTTGCTATAATTAAATCGACCTAATTGTAGTATTGTGACGTATCATGAGATGATTTAAGTTTATTTTTAGGTTTGAAATGACAATACTAATAATAATAAATAATAATAAAATAATAATAATACTAAATAATACTAAATAATAATAATAATAAATACTAATAAAATTATTTTTAGGCCACAAAATGACTTAGTGTGTTACAAATTTATTAATAACTCCACGTGACGCGGCAAAATATGAAATTATACGTAGACTTTTTTAATTCTTTCACAAATTCAGACAGACACAATACATCGATACTTCTCTACTCGTATTATGTTAAGATGCTAACATGACGTCAAAAAGATAAATCCATTTATAACTTGACCTATTTATAGTCTCTAATGTGGCGTAATAAAAATCTATTTATAGCGGCGTAAACATGTACGTCATGCTGACTGGCAATCTTCCATTTACTGTACATCCTTTTTCCGTGAACAGCATCTACGAAAAGATGACGAATCAGGGGATGAATGTCATCGAAATTAGCATTAGTTCAGGTCAGTGGGGTCCACTTGTATGTGTGTGTGTATGTGTGGTGTGTGTGTGTGTATGTGTGTGTGTGTGTGTCGACCCTTATTGTAATATTTCTTCTTTCTCTCTTTCTCTTATTGTTTAGATTGCAGAGACCTGCTGTTGAAGTTGTTAGCGGTCGACCCGGACAGGAGAGTGACAGCCGATGAAGCTCTCCAACATGATTGGTTCTCGAAAATAAGCCGGAAGTCACGTGAGCTCTTTCTATTTTGTTGCGGAGATCTTGATTTATGTAGTTTTTATTCGTTGCTTATATGATTCTTTTACTTTCATTTTCGAATTTAGTCTCCCATCTATCGATCAACCTATTCATTTTTTCTATAAACCCAACTCTCTATCTATTCACTCATTCATTCATCCATGCATTCATCTAGCTCACAATCAATCCATCCAACCAGCCAATGTTTTTTTTCAATAATTTTAGGGAAAGAAAATGAAATTGAGCCCACACCAGAGAACAAAAACAACCTCTACGCCATCATCTCAAGATGTTTAAATGTGGATTTAGCAGAAATTAAAAATAAAATTAACGATAAAACGCCATCTTCACCGTTCTCTTTTTACAGTCTCTTGATTGACAGCTATAAAGAATTCATCGAAGATTTAAACCTCAAATAATGTGTGTGTGTGTTCGTGTGTGTGTATTTTATTATTATTAAAATTGTCAATTTCGAAATATAACTCGATTTGTTTTTTGACCGAAAATGAAATGACAAAACGATTTGTATTCTTTAGTATGGTCTCCAGAGTGAAAATTTAACTCTAGGTTCGCTTTTAATTTTCAAATTTATTCTGACGTCACCGACAAAGTTGTTTGTTGTTGCTGTGTTTTTGTTGATAGTGTTGTTGATGTTGTTGTTGATGCTGTTGCTGATGTTGTTGTTGATGTTGTTGTTGATGTTGATGTTCTTGTTGAGGTTTGCATTGGAATGGTTTGGCCTATTCACAATAATTAAGTTTCTGCTGTTGATGTAATTTGCTGTTGTTGTTGACGATGTTGTTGTTGATGATGATGATGATGATGTTGTTGTTGATGACGATGATGT